CATTAGAAAGCTAGAACTTTCATGTTGTTGTTGTTGTTATGTGCCGTCGAGTTGTTTGCGACCCTATGTACAACAGCCCTAAACTGTGCTCTATCCTGTGCCAATCTCATTGCCTCTGACACACCCATCCTGAGTACGCCAGTCACTGAATCAATCCACCTCATAGAGGGTCTTTCCCTCCTGCGCTGTCCCTCTACTCTACCCAGCATGATGTCCCTCTCTAAAGACCTGTCTCTCCTTACAACATGTCCAAAGTATGTCAGACGAAGCCCCAGAATCCTTGCCTCCAAGGAGCAGCCTGGTTTAACCCTCTCTACGATGAATCTGTTTGTTTTCTTGGCAGCCCATGGTACATTCAATACTCTTCTCCAGCACCACAGCTCAAAGGCGTCAATTCTCCTTCTATCCTCCCTAGTCATTGTCCAACTCTCTGATGCATAACAAGTGATAGCAAAAACCATGGCCTGTATCAGGCGGACCTTAGTCTCCAGAGAGACACTGTTGCTCTTGAGTATTTTGGAGAGGTCCCTAACTGCAGACTTTCCCATCGCAATACGTTTTTTAATTTCCTGGCTACTGGTGCCAAGAGTGTTGACCGTGGAGCCGAACAAACTGAAGCTGTGAGCAATCTCAATCATCCATCCTGATGCTACCGATTGGTCCAGTGGTGAGAATTTTTGTCTTCTTGACATTGAGCCTCAGTCCATATTGAAGGCTGCAGTCCTTGACCCTCTGCAGTAAGTGCATGAGGTCCTCCTCAGTTTCAGCAAGCAAGGTTGTGTCATCTGCATAACGCAGATTGTTGATAGATCGTCCACCAATCCTAACGCCATGCCTCTCCTCATAGAGCCCCGCCTCTCGGATAAGGGTTTTTATCATTGTGGTTCTGGTGAAGCTTCACATTGCAGTTAGAATTCCATTCAACAATTTCTACACATGTTGTTCATTGATATTGATTACATCCTAAAAAAATGCAAAACATTTTCATTATTTACTGATAAAATACTCATCTGGAAGAACAAAGTTTTTTCAAACCACAATGGGGAGCATGTCCTATTAGATGTAGCATTAAAATAGAAAATAAGTAGTAGTATTATAGATAAGAATATACAGGCAGAATAAGAGTACTTAATACAGAAAGTCTGTCAGAAAGTGGCAGTCATATCAGAAGGAGGGGGAGGTGGGTTATTAACTGAGACTGGGACAGCCGGCTGTGAAACAAGTTCCTGTATATCCCTACATAACTCACAATGTAAGATGTGATTGTGCTTAATGTTGAAATGTAAAAGCTGAAACCCCAAGAGAAAATAATTTACATGCAAGTGAATATTATATTTGTTGTTGTTGTTGTTATGTGCCATCGAGTCGCTTGCGACTAATAGCGACCCTATGTACAACAGCCCTAAACTCTGCTCTGTCCTGTGCCAATCGCACTG